AGAGTGCCTCTGCTCCGCCAAACTCTCAGTCGGCTCAGAGTGCCTCTGCTCCGCCAAACTCTCAGCCGGCTCAGAGTGCCTCTACTCCGCCAAACTCTCAACCAGCTCAGAGTACCTCTGCTCCGCCAAACTCCCAGCCAGCCTCCGCCAGTGTTGCAAACAGCCCTTCGGCGGCGAGCAATACTCCATCGACAGGCTCATACTCAGCTGCGTCTGCCACTGGCTCTTGTCCAGCGTCCCTCTCCGGCGCTTACCAGACGCCACAATCAATCGTCCCAGTATCATCTACGTCGCCCGATACTTCTTGCGGCACTTCCTACAACGGACAGATCAACAGCACCACAAGCACGATATTCACGTTCGACATCCCCCAATCCTACTCCGGCAAGACATGCTCGCTCGTCTTCCTTTTCCCAGAGAAGGGTGACCTCGAGACCTCCGACTACACCTTCTCAGGATCCGGCAGTGTCTGCTTCTCCAAGCTCAGCAGTGTTATATCGGAGACCACCACATGGAACAGCGCCCCCAAGGCGGAGAAGGATCTTGGCACCATCGCTGTCCAGCCCGGCAACAGCTATGTCGTTGTCGGTGGGCAATGCCCAGCCGGCCAAACCAGGAGCATAGAGCTCTCTTCACAGGACGGCTTTGCTCTGGATTTTTTCCAAGACTGTCCGTATATTGTAATGCCACTCACGTCAGATGCTGACAACCCACCAGACAATCCATCTCCCATCGGGCTTTACGTTACCTCATGCTAGAGGCGTACGCAATATCTATGAAGAACACGAAGACAAAAGTAATGAGTAAAGCATCCCCGAGCTTTAGTGATGTCTACAGGCAGAGTGTCCATCATGGCGCTGCAACGGACATACCTCCCGTAGTGGAGGCGCAGATATAATCCCTCGGAATAAAAGCAAGTTTTTTTGGAGATCGGTCCCTCGCAAGCATATTCTCCGCCCCAAGGGCGCGTGTTGTGCGAATCGCGCTCACGGCGTGTGTTCCTCTCCTACAAGCTAATAATGTCAGACAAGTGTCCCCTTTGTGTCTGGCGTTAGACGACGAGGCTGGTGACCGAGCTTCCCGTTCTTCAACACCTCGCAATGACCGCATGCCCCGCATCCACTCTGCTCATCGGGTAGCGCAAAGCACACGGTTGTCATTTGGACACCTCAGCCAATCATTGAACTGATTCCCGTGCTTTCGCAAGCACCCCAGATGATTGGGCCGGATCACACGTGGTTTGGCTCAAGCGGTCCCTTTCTTCAGCTCTGCATCAGACTGCATGAGACTGCATCTCCAACTCTCCTTTCTACATCAGGCTTCAAACCACCACAGCACCCTTCTGGACTTATCACACACCACGAATCACTCCACACCTGTCGCTCTTCACACCTGCGCATTGAGGCCCACATTCCAAATAAAGGTGCATGCTACAGATCCCACATGCGCCGTCGTCATGCGGGGTGGCAGATGGCGGGGTACGATGTATGCTCTAAAACGACACCATTCCCGGTACTCGTAGCTCGGCGCTGCACGATCTCGGTCCAGACCACGTCCGGCAACATGTGAGTTCTCTCGAACCCTTCTCAGGTCAGTCTCGAGGCCAGCTGATCGGTTCGCGCGGTGCCTCCATGCGGGGGTTAATGAGGCGGGACGTATAAGAGCGCATTGCAAGGTAATAAGACGGCCTGTTCCTTATCGTGTGCAACCGTCCACCGTATCGGTGGTATCCTTGATCGATCAATCTCCAAACACTCGGGTCGTCCAGATATCGCTCGTGTTTCACAAGATCAAGATTGTGTCCTACCGAAGCGCTCATACTATCGTCATTGCCGGGAGTTGCAAACAGCAGCTAGCAACCCATTGTGCCACCACCCACGACCCACGAGACGATAAGCAGTGGCGAACAGCGTCAGCGTCATTGTTGCATATACTCTTCAGGCGTCAACACAGTTTCTATCCACGGACGTCCAGATGTCAACGATGATGTCGTGCCCTGTTCAGCAGAACGTCCATACTGGCGAGAAGGCCAGTGGCACCGTGAAGGCGAATGGCGGAGGCAAGCCGGCTCCAGGCGAATACATCAAGTGGGACGCAGAAGGCGTCGAGGTCGAGCAGCCGGGCGAGAAGGAGAAGATCAAGGAGGTCTCTGACCAGTTCAACCGATTTCAAATGATGAACTTCAACGAACACATGCACTGCTTGCGCGGCACTCACCTCAAGACGCAGGGTTGCGTGATGGGCAAATTCACCGTTCACGACAACCTGCCGAAGCACCTTGCGCAAGGCATGTTTGCAAAGCCGGGCCGCTACGATATGATGATGCGCTACTCTTCCCTCACGCCTAAGCTTGTGCCGGACAACATTCCCGCACCGCGTGGGATTGGCATGAAGATATTCGGTGTCGAGGGCGAGAAGATATGGGGCGAGGATAAGAAGACCCAAGATTGGACGATGAACAACTACCCCATCTTGGAACTGCGTGATCCGAAGACTACGTACGACATCGCTGACTCCCTTGAGCGGAACTGGAACGACCTGGGCACGTTCGCGAAGGAGCAGTCTGAGCGCGTTGACGCTGATGTCGCTACCATGGGCAGCCAGCTTCCTCGGCAACAAATGGTTGCCATGCCGCAGTTCTCCCAGTCCGCCTACCGCCACGGCGAATACGTCGCCAAGTACGGCGTCTTCCCGCTCGGCGAGGAGCAGAAGAAGCTTGAGGAGACCGCGATCCCCGAAGACGCCCCCATCAACGTGATCTCCCAAAAGACCCGCGACTTCCACATGAAGCACAAGGTCACCTACTCCTTCTGCGCGCAGTTGCTGCAGGACCTCGACGAGCAGCCTGTGGACGATATCGGGATCGAGTGGGATGCGAAGAAGTACCCGTTCGAGCAGATCGCCACGTTGGAGTTTGAGCCGCAGGATAGCTGGATCCCGGAGTTCCGGGTTTGGTGGGACGACAGGATTACGTGCAATACATGGCATGGATTGAAGGCGCACCAGCCTCTAGGCAGCACCAACAGGATGCGCCGGGTTGTGTATGCCGAGTCGAGGAAGTTGCGTCTGAGGGTGAACGGGTACAAGGACCATGTGGAGCCGGCGAGCTTAAAGGAAGTGCCAGCGCCGATGAATACACCTCCGCAATTCGACCTGCCGTATCAGCATGCTGTACCAACTGTTGCTGTTGCTTCATAGGTGCCGCGGTGGTGGGTTCGGCGTGGGCGTTGGCACTGGCTTCGGCAGGCGGCGGTGGTGAGACGATGGTTTCGTTGGGCTACCTACCGATATATAGTCTTGCAAGACGATAAAGTCCGAATTGACGTTGATCGTCGTGGGCATATGCCAGCGCCTCCACCTAGAAGAATGCCCAGTCACCAGTGTGAACGTTGCCCAGGATCGTCCCTCTGACTCAAGGTCGAGTCACTATGGGAGCTCGTCGGCACTTCAGTGCAGCTGCCATATACTGCAGTACTGTTGGCAATCAGTCATATCAGACACCGGTAGTTCAGGTGGTTTAGAACGTCTGTCTCATACATCTGAGGTCAGCAGATGCCGCGAGTTCAAGTCTTGCCTGGTGTATTCCTTTTGCGTCTTGCAGTGGCTTTGCTACGCTGCTGCCGCTAGTGTACAACTGGCCGTCACGGAATCCTCTCCGCACGATCTCAATACAAGCCTACATCACGACCACAAGCCTCTCGCTGCCCTCCTCGTTCCATGCGCTCTCGATATCCTCCAGTCTCACGACCTTAACCGGCTGCTCGGGGATGTCCTTCACTGCTGCCAGGAGCTGATCGAGTGTCTGCGCCATCTCCTGCATGCTCCACGCTCCGGGGCCAGAACCCCGAATGGTCAGGTTCTTCGACCGCAAGACCGCGCCGGGAAGACTGATATCCTGCGCCGCAAGCCCACCAATATGCACATACTGCACCGGCCGAGACGATTTGAGCGACTTGAGTAGGTGTACGGTGAGTGGACCAAAGACGTAGTCGAGCACGCAATCCACCTCGCCCAGCGTGTCGAAGTCAGTCTTCTCTGGGTCGTTCTCGATCACGATACTCGCATCTAAACCGAGTGTAGCCAATGCCGACTTGTTGCGCGCAGCCCCGATGACCTTCTTTGCGCCGAGGGCGCGCACAAGTGAAATGGCAACGCGGCCGGACGCTGATGTTGCGCCCACAATCAATGCAGTGAAGTCAGGTGGAAGGTTCGTCGTTCGGGTCATGATTGCCATCCAGCTGGACATGGCGGGATTGATGATGCCGGCGGCCTGAATGGGATCGGTGCCCTCGGGGAGAGGCCGTGTGTTGCGCTTGGGCAGGTTGATGTATTCTGCCATGGAGCCCACGTCGAAGGAAGCCCAGTAGACTGTTTGCCCGTCCTCGGTAGTTCCGATGCCGTCGATGCCCGGGATATGTGGAGGCATGCCGCTGGAGTAATGCTTGCCAGATGCTCGACTGCGAACGACCTGATGAACGCCGACGGCTTTCACCTTGATGCGTACTTCTCCAGGGCCAGGGGCGTCAGGTTGTGGTGCTTCGACATACTTCGGTGGCTGTCCCCACTCGCTGACTTGCGCTTGATGCATGATCGTTTTGGTAGAAAGAGCTATGCACCGTGAGAAGTTTAGCTGCAAGGAAGTGGTTCGACGTATAGTCTTGAGCATAGGAAGCCTGTTGAGACTGGTATGTGAAGGAACGGGCACTGCACGCAGGACTTACACACTCTATATAGGCAAAGCTGATCGGAGCGACGACATGATAGCGGACCCTACTGCTGCCCGGAATGTTGTTGGTTTTGAGCTCTAAGGACTGTGTTCGGGCCCGAAATCCTTTTGCCCGATTGTTCCGGCCTTTCAAGTTTCAGGCGGTCCGGTTACGGAAATTGCGGAAGAGACGAGACGAAAACCTTCTGGCTTCTGATTCCGAAGTTCTGAGCCTCTGAGAGTCTGAAGGCGAGGATACGGTTTCCCTCCTTCCGAGCGACACTACGTATCCTGCGCGCGGATACGGCTCCCGCCCTAGAAGCACCAGTGAACAACTCCGCGATGCGGCTGAACGTGGCGCACGAATTGGCCACGAGACACACGTTGGCCGGCTATACACGCCACAAGCACCGCATGGCAAGGACGTGCCAGACTATGGCGGCCTCGAGTTCTGAGTCAGGACGTTCTCTATGAATGGCCGCAGCATACGCCGAGTGAATGGCGATGAGCCATGATTTGCCGCAATCGCTGTAGGTTAAAAGCATTGCCCTTGTACCACCAAGCCACTCAAGTCTCCTTCCAACAACCTCGACAAATCAGTTCCTTATTTTTCCTTGCTGTCTTTCCTTAGTATATCATGTCAAAACACAACTTCACAGTCAAGACCCGCCGATTCCCAGGCCAGCACGTCCGCCAGTACCTCGGCGCGACCCGAGATCGAGAGGAGGACGTCCTTTACCTGGAGGCCAAGCAGTATGTACCGTTGAGTAACCCTCAACCGCAGGAGGGCGACATCACCATCCTCGCCACGCATGCCGTGAGCTTTCCGAAGGAGCTGTACGAGCCGCTTTGGGATGACCTGCTCGGACAGTGCGAGCGCCACGGTCTCCGCATCCGCTCGATCTGGATCGCAGATGCCAGCAACCAAGGCGCGAGCGGTGTCCTGAACGAGCATACGCAAGGCGACGATCCGAGCTTCTTCGACTACCCTCGGGACCTGCTGCACATGATCAACCTCTTTCGCGATGAGTTCCCGCAGCCCGTCGTGGGTATCGGTCATTCCATGGGCGGCACAGCCCTCATCCAGCTCGCGACCCTGCACCCACGGCTGATGGCCTCCCTGGTACTGTTCGACCCGGTCATCGGTCTGACGACGTCAGCGGACTTTGCTAGTCTGTTCTATATGAACTCCGTACGGCCTGACGTGTGGCCGTCACGGCAGGAGGCGGAGAAGGGTTCGAGGTTCCTGTTCAAGACGTGGGACAAGCGAGCTCTCGACCTGTGGCTGGAGTACGGTCTGCGCGATACACCTAGCCTTGTGCACAGAGAGGCTGGTAAGGTCACGCTACGCACTCCCAAAGCACAAGAAGCGTGGATCTACGGCCGGAGCTGGTTTGATGCGATACCTGGAGACGGCCAGTATGCCACGCCTGAAGCCAGGGCGAAGTACCCGGATATGCACGACGGCGTCCTCCAAACCCACCCCTTCTACCGGCCTGAGGACACGTACGTGTGGCAGGATTTGCCGAGGGTGAGACCTGGTGTGCTGTACATCTGTCCGGACAATGGTCCAATGATCGATGCCAGGGCCATGGAGGAAAGGTTGAAGCGCACGGGCTGCGGAGCCAGTGGCAGTGGAGGGGTGAAGGAGGGCAGGGTATCGGCGAGCGTCATTGAGCGTGTCGGCCACCTATTGCCGTTCGAGAGGCCATCGGAGTGCGCCAGCGTTGCGGCAGGATGGCTGGGCAACGATATCAAAGCATGGGAGGAGCGAAGGAGGTTCGAGAAGGAGCACCGAGATGACAAGAGCGTCGACCTCGTTGCGCTGTCTCCGGAGTGGATGCGGCAGGCTAAGTTCTACTTTGTGAGGTCCAAGCGGAGCGGAAGGCCCAAACTCTGAAGTGACTGGCCGCTATCTCTTCTCTGGTGCTTGACTGGTGCTGTCATGACCGGATGCCTGACGAACACTTGCAGTTCCACGGGGCCGCTCTTCAGCGCAGTCCGAGCTCGGTGTCAATTCCTGAGCAGCCGCGACGTCGAAGCATACGGCGAAGACCGAGCCATGTTTCTGCTCGATGCGCCAGCTGTGGAAGCCCTGAAGACCAATCGGTTCGATATCAGCCGTGCTTTCGGAATATGCATGTTTTCGTGCAAGAGCCTTTTCCTCGTGATCTGCTTTGTGCGCTGAGAGGTGCGCTTCTACGGTGTGGACACTTGGACGGTGGTCTCGATAGCTGACAAGTCGCCAGTGAGCACGAACCAGATGGCCGCACCGTGCACCATGCCGTGAGGGCTACTACCGGGGCGCAAGGTTTGGGCGTTTATGAGGAGGCTAGGAGCGTGTGGCGTTCATTGAGGAAGGTTGTTAGTTGCTGCAGAAGACATCGGACAACCCGCGTCCCGAGTATATTTGCCATGCTACGCGTGACATTGATCATGTATGGTGCACGACGATGACAACACCAGCCATGCGATGCTTGCGTGATAGGACATCCACCACTTGCAGAGTAGTCTCCGGAGGACTGGCACTTTGCGGTGGGCGGGCTGTCCAAGCAAACAAGGTCCTCTGCTGGCCGTACGTCCGCAAACTTCTGGTACACAGGCAGAACTGGACGATGCTTGAAAGCATATGCGTGCCTTCTTGGCTGAGCAACGTGCTCGACGTCTCCGTTGGGTTGTGCTCATCCGGTAGGCATTCGACGCGGATCCCTAGTCCCCTCAGTCTGCGCCCCACTCGAAGCACGCATTCTTTCGAGCGCCTTGGCGTAGTAGTCTCTAGTCTCCTTCGCATGCTTGTCGTACGCTTCAAGCTGCTGCGTGGCTTCTTGGGCAATTGCGAGGACTGGAGGAACAGGAGCCTGCCTCATATGTGGGTCCAGCTGTTGTGGCAGTAAGCCGGGTAGTGCGCAGGGGTCGCCGGAACCTTCGACATACGGCGCACTCAAGTTGGCAATCAACTGGGTGTGGTCAGGCTGCAAGATGCATGTGCTGTCGATATCCATGCCTGCTGAGGGTGGCGCATCGTTATGAAGTGATTGCAGCTTTCGGCGTCCTTCCTCCAGTATGCTTGCCCTGAGGAGACCTTAGCCATGATCGCGATCGGATTACGCCCGCGCGTGCGTACCGAACGCCTTCGTGATGCTCCTCGAGGTTGGCGATGATCAGCTTCACCCTCTCCTCCCTGTTCCCCGGCTCCGGCAGATTTTCAAAGTTCGGTATCGGGCGGAAGATATGGTTCTGCATGACGAATCTGGTGTGTCGAAATACTGCCCTTCGCCCGGCCTGGGACGTTCTGCTCAGTGCTCTTGCTCAGTGTATGGAGGTAGTTGCGAGGGTCAACACAGACGCAGGATCGCCAATACGTCATCGCCGCCACTCCTGTCCACAACGGCGTTGTCGTACGCCGTACATTGTGCACTGAACAAGTTGAGAGCTTCCACATCTCACTCAAGTCCCGTCTCTACCGTGGCGACGCCGCGAACCCCGGACTAAAACGAAAGCGATGCCACTCCCCTTGACGCTTGGTGGGACCGCAGATCACAGACGACGTCCGGTGTGCCTCCACCGACGCCGGCATACCGGCCTTCTGTACCGTCACTCAGCGCACGACTTACTATCTACGACGAGGACGGGCTCCAGATGGCACCGATGTCCTGCAGGAAAGCGAGAGCACGCGGGTCAACGACATGGAGTATGTCTCTCGGAGAAAAACGGGAATGGAGCGGCATAGCTACGCCGTTAAAGTACAACAGGACGCCATTGCTATGGACGCACGCCGCCAAGGAGTTCGCGTCTACATCTGCGCGCGCAGTCTACGTGTCGGCATGCCGTTCACTGCCTATCTCAAACATGGCGTACAGTACCAACCAGCTTCTCC